CTTCTCCTCTCCTTCTCCTCTCCTTCTCCTCTCCTTCTCCTCTCCTTTCCCATTATTACTTATGCAGGCTTCAATGCCTTTTCTCTCCACCCCTGTGCTTCTGACCTCCTGCTGCCTTCGCAGTCAAGTCTCTCTCCTGTCTTCTGGTCTTGGCCATGGCTTTTTCTTTGTTTGTTTTCGTTTTTTCCCCATGCTCATCATGGATCTCATTTCTTTCCTGCCCCATCAGACATTCACAGAGCATTTGCTGGGAAAGTCTCTTTGGATTTCAGAGCTGTAGGGGTGGCTCGAGAGCAGGGCCGGCTTCTCTGCTACCAGCAAGCTGCAGTTGGCTGGAGGCCAGAGCTGTGGAAGAATAAGAGACCCTGTGGGATGCTACCTGCTGCTGGGTGTCAGCTTTCCGAGTCGCATGGGGCTGGAGAAGGAGGCTGTGCCATCAGCTCTTCAGGCTTGAGCCACTGACTGTGGCTCTGTTATGTGCTGATTGGATTTTCTCTTCCACAGGCTGAATTTGCAGCCTGCAGTCAGAGAACAAACGCACTTCTATTGTCTGGCAGCTTCTGCTTTGTGTCTGTGCTAAATAAGGCATAAAAGAATAATATTTTCTGGTTCTAATTGCTTGCCCAGATGGAACACAGACAATTGCAGAGAAATGCCTACACTAACCCGAGCTCCCTGCTCTGCAAAGCAACTGTTTTAACTCTTAAGCTGTTTGGCACCATGACTTTTTCTTAAGGTGAAGTTCTTGGAGCGGCAATAGCAGAAAACATCGGATTAAAGGAGCTGAAAATCAGCTGGAACCATTTCCACAGTGAGGGAGCAGTTGCTTTGGCCAAAGGCGTGGGGGTAGGAAAAGTTTTCACTCCTGTCTTAAATGCTGAAATCTCACATGAAGCTTTGTCTGTTTGTATGAGCATCAACGTCATCATGTGATGTTTGTCCACCAGCCGTCGATGATCTGGGATCACACAGACCTTGGAACCAAGACAGTCAAATCATTCACTGTGTACTGACATAGCACATATGTTTTCATTTCTCCACTTCTAGCTCTTTCCCTTTTTAGAGTCAAACTTGACCCAATGAATGCTTTGAATTGTTTCATTGCACTTCTGATTCACAGATCAATACAGAAGTTACTTTGTATTCTATATACAGTTTTTACTCTGCTCAAAGAAAGAAGCTTCTTTCAGCTTTTCAATACCTAAAGGGAGCCTACAGAGGGGAGGGGAATCAACTCTTTGGAAGGGTTGATACGTGTAGGACGAGGGGAAATGGTTTTAAGTTGAGGGAGGGGAGATTGAGGTCAGACATCAGGGGGAAATTCTTTACCCAGAGAGTGGAGAGGTGCTGGAACAGCTGCCCAGAGAGGCTGTGGATGCCCCGTCCTTGGAGGTGTTCAAGGCCAGCTTGGATGGGGCCCTGAGCAGCCTGGTTTAACATTGGACGTGGAGGTTGGTGGCTCTGCATGTGGCAGGGGGTTGGAGATTCATGATCCTTGAGGTCCCTTTAAACCCTGGCCATTCTGTGATTTAGTAACAAGGTTTTAAATTCAGTGTCTGTGTCACGCCACAGGCAAATGTGTTCCTCAAGGTGCTGGATGTTTCCTACAATGGCTTTGGCAACAATGGAGCAGCTGCCTTGGGAGATGCTCTGCGAGCCAACAACGTGCTGGAAGAGCTCAATGTAAGGTGAGTCAGGCTTCCAGCCTGCTGCATGTTTTCTCCCGTTCTCCAGAACCTACAGAAGTGAGGTATGAGAGGAAGATGTTACGTTTGGAGCCGTGGGCTTTGTTCAGTTCATGGCCTGGAGGGAGGCATGCTTAGGGTGGTGAAACAGCAAGGGAAGCAAGGCGGCCAAGAAGGTGAGAGCTCAAGTTTGTGGTCATCAATATATGATTAATATATAATGGAAGTGGTTCCAGAAAAACGACCAGAAAAAAAAAAAGAAAGAAAAGCAGACAAAGATGGGAGCAGGGAGCTGCCATGAATTCCCTCTGGACTGGTTTTCAGCACTGGGCGCAACAGGAGGTTGCGTATCCTTTGCCAGAGCAATGCAGTAATGTCTGGTATCAGCCTGGCTGTGTGGGCATGGGGAACCTGCAGCTCGGGCTGTGACCCATGCCATCCATCTGCTTGCAGCAATAATCGGATCTCGGTGGAAGGAGCTCTGCGACTTGCAGTTGGCCTGAGAGAAAACAAGACCCTGAAGATCCTTAAGGTGAGTGGCTTTGCCACGAGGAGCCTGCAGTGTGTGGCTGATGGTTTGCTGTTACTGTAGATGGTTTTGTGCCAAGTGGTGTCCAGCTCAACGAGGCAAACTGGAGCTCTCATAGAGCCAAAGAAAAATAAGTTTGGGATGGGAAGAGCTGTTGTGTATCCTCCTGGTGTTTTCTTCTTGCCTCCAGATGATCAGAAATCCCATGCAGAACGAAGGATGCTGTGGGATCCTCAAAGCTCTACAGGCAAATTCTGGCACTGGCATGGAGATCCTGGACCTGCCAGTAAGTGTGACAGCAGACAGAAGAGGGAAGGGAGGGAAGAAGCTGAGTGTGTGAATAACAAAGTGCTGGCAGAGGGATTCAGGCACAAGACATCCCATGTAGACATGCCAAAGAGCATCGTTTCAGAAATAGAGGCTTTCTTTCAGACTGGTGCCCTTAGGCACTTTCAGAGTGGCTTAGTGCCCTTAGGACCAAATAATTACCAAGTGCTTTGATTTCTAAAAAGAGAAAACCCATATCTCCCATTGTGCCGCTTCATCACCTCAGCTCTTCTCCTTGCCCAGGGAGCAGCATGATGAATCTCACACTACCCATAATGTGGGCAGCCCCGAGGAGGGGACATCCTGCCATGCACTTTGTTTACCTGCAGTGATTCCTCCTTCCAGGACATTCCTGTGAGCAAGGAGTTGGTGGAGCTGTGCGAAGCTGTGCAAACGCTTCTCCCAAATCTTCTTCTCCGACGTGGTGGAAGCACAAAACTGCAGGGGAAAAGTCTGTTGGCGGTCGAGCTCTGGCCTCAGCCCAAAGTGTTGGGTAATTCCCGTAACTCCGTGCCTTAATGTCAGTCTCTTTGGGGCTGCTGCTTCTGCCTGATGTCCCAGTACTGCTGAGCAAGCCAGTGACACAGGGACACGCAGGGCAGCGCTGAAGGCAGGAGCTGTGGGAATGTTGGCTGTCGCTCTGCTGCTGCCACTCAGAAGTTTTCCTGTCTGCTCACTTCAAGCTTTCTGCTGTGTCCACTTCTGAGTCTCTTCCAGCACATGCAAGAGCTTCCCCATGGATGATGGCTCCTTTTTAATCATCATCTTTGGGCACAGGGCTGGTGGAACACTGTGTGCCATGGTCTGCTGCAGGGGAGTCTGCACAGCTCAGGAGTGCAGTGTGTTTACACGGCATCCAAAGTCTGTCCAGAGCTGTGCTGTGCACAGATGCTTGCTTTCTTCAGCTGTCCTGCCAACAGCCAGGCTTGCCTTTGCTGGACTGGCTGTCAGATGCAGCGGTGACTCATTTTCAGCTGCTTCCTTCCCCATCTCCTTGGCCTTGTGAGGAGCTCATAATCCCCAGGGTGAAGACCCCGTTTTAGGTGTTATAACTGGTGTCATTTCCTGGATGCACAACTCTTTCTTTTCTGAGTTTCACATTGGATGGATGCTACAAGATGCCAGGAAACAGGACGAGAACTCAGCAGTGATTCAGCACTGACAGCAGCACGTGGCTTTAACCCTTTTCTCCTCCCTGCAACGTGTCTGCCATCACCCAGCAGCATCCAGGGCATCCTCTCTGTGCTGCTGGGGAGCAAATAGCTCTATGCAATTACATTTTGCAGAAAAGAAACTGTTGTATAGATGTATGAATTATTTTACATGTTTTGTATCTAATAAATAACATCTATGCCTACACTGTCCAAACCATTCATGTTTTAAGCTCTGGAAATACTGATTGTTGGCATTAGTGATAATTTCTCCTTCATTATTGGGTAGCTTTTGTTTTGCTTTTGCTTGCAGCCTTATTCCTCTACACCTCCTTGCAGACCAGCAGCCTGGCTCCTTGCAGCACTCCTGATCTGCTCTGGTTGTTTCTGGCAGGTGAGCCTTCATGCTCTGGGCAGATCCAGCTCCATGTGAAACAGCTCTGGTGCAAGTCATGCTGGTGATCACAGAATGTTGAGCTACTGCTAAGCATCATTTGGGACGGGGATGGAGCAGCCTGCAGCACGACTCCGAGCTGCTCCACCAGCACACAGGAGTGTTTTTGTGAGTGCTTTCACCTCTATTCGATATTCAGCCCGATTTTCCTTGTGCTGGGGATGAGGGAATGCATACACCTGGGGGTGTGCCAGTTTTCAACATCCTGCCTTTCTCAGGCCCAGGGAAGGAGGGTGTTCACTGCACAGCGCTTCCCTCATCCGTCCTCAGGCTGTGTGTGCAGGAGGATGGGAGGCTCACGTGGGATAAGGAGCGGATTACATGCAGCCAGCCCTGCAGCTCCTCTGTGCAGGGGGGTGGCAGATGGCTGAGAACCACAGAGTTGGAAAAGGCCCCAAAACTCAGTGCTCTACTGCTCCCCAGTACAGTGGGGATGCTCACCCATGCAGCAGCCCCAAGCAGAGCCTGGACCACGGCACGTGGGAGCTGCCCCATGACCTCCAAAGCCGTGTCAGTTTTCCAGAACTCTTATACCACTCTGACCTACATACCTCACCCTGTAGCACTGCAATTAGACTGATCTCCATGCAATCCAGCCAGGCTGATTAGACCAATATCACGAGCCCCAGAAAAACGCTGTTTCTTTTGAGGAACAAATCATTGTAGGATTGCTCCCTGGCTAGCGGTGGCTACTGAGAAAAAAATGGCTTTGAGCATTATTAGGTGGACAATTTAAAACCAATTAATACGTGTTCTGTGTAGGGCACATTACCTCAGCAGGACGTGGGATGGAACAGAAGAACCAACCAATCCTGTAGCCCTGGGTAAGGATTGTAACCAACCCAGTGGTGCTGCAGAGGGCACGCTCCTCCCAGGCTGCCACTAATCACATCTCCATCCTTAATTCCCTGCAGCCACGTCACTCCCCACCCACACACAGCCCACGTGGTCCCCACGGCCACCATCACTCTTACAGGTGAGCATTGTTTCTCTGCATTTTTACAACTCCATTTGGGCTGGTTAAGCTCATGAACAGTGCAGAACAACGGCCGTGCTGGGGCCACGCACGTATTCTGTGGCTTGTCTTTAATTCACATCATTGACACTGGGTTTGCATGTTCTCTCAGCTCAGGTCACAGCTCTGGGACAACACCACAGACCCTATCCCAGTGCCAGGACACCGCTCTGCTCAGCCCTGTCCTTGCAGCTGACACTGGGGCTGAAAGCTTCTATGCATCCATAGGGCTCCAGCTCCCTGCCCTACGCCCACAGCTCTGGCCAAAAGCCATTCACTGCAGGGAAGAAGTGGGCTATAAGGGGAACACAGCACATGCACCCAGAGCCATTGCAGAACCAGCGTTTATGGGGGTGAACAGGTCAGCCCGTTGCTCACAACCACTACACAGAGGTGCCAAACAGGGCCGCAGCGGGGCAGGGGCTGGGCAGCAGTGACAGTGCGGGGGGAGCAGGACATGAGCACTGTCCAGGGGTGCAGAGCCCCCAAGGGGACTGGGCAGGGGATAAGAGCAGCTCCCAGCAGGGCACGGCCCCATAGGAGGATGCTGGGATGCTGTGGGGCAGGAGGTCTGCATTGCAAAGCCTGAGGGGTCCGGCAGCCTCTTCCAGCACCCTCCAAAACCTGCACCTGGGGGGATGACACCAAAAAGCACCCACTGAGCCAATCCTGAGCCCCTGGGAAAGGCAGCACCCAAGCCCAGAGGTGTGGCAGCTGCTGGGGCACAGGGGAAGGGCACAAGCTGTGCCACCCTTTCCATAGTCCTGCCTACAAACCAGGTCCCTGCCTTCACGCTGCCATCCCCAGCTTGTGTGGCCCTGGCTGCTCCTTGTGCCTCTCAGTACTGGCATCGAAGGGAAGAAGCACCAGAGAGGTTCGGGCAGAGGGAACAGCAGCACAGGGCTCAGCAGGGCTGCAGCAGAAGCCAGGATGAGGCTGGGATGGGCACACTGCCTGTCTCCATCCTCCATCCATGCAAGGCAGTGGAGATGAGCTGGAAAAAGGGGATTTGCTGCACGGCATCTGGGTGGGCGCAGGGAAACAGGGTGGGGATGAGGCTCCCTCTGAGCATGGCAGGCACTGGGGCTGAGGGCAGAGTGCTGCTCTCCAGTGCTGGGAGGGAGGGGGCCAGCCCCACCATGCTCTGCAAGGAAGAGTGAGCGGCACCCCTGGACAGAGCCCTGCACCCGGGCAGCCCTCGCCGCACAGGGGTCAGGCAGAGCAGAGGGGTCCGGAGGGTGGGTGGGCACTGCCAGAGCCACAGAGCCCCCTCCCACGGGCGTCATCTCTTGACCTCAGTGGTGTCGGTGTCTGGCAGCCCGGTGGCAGGCTGAGGGCTGGGCTGCACTGCCTGCACCGTTTCCTCCAGGCTGCCACTGGGGAACACCACGTAGCGGGCGCTGACACGTTGTGGTCGTGGCTCCCGTAGGTTCTCCTTGCTGTGCCAGATGCCGTAGCCAAAGTAGACGAGCAGGCCTGGAGTGAGGGAGAGGGAGGTCAGCACGTCCACCCAGCAGCACAGCCCTGGCACAGAGGTCCTGGCTCAGCCTTGCCATCAGGTCCCAGGACCTGTAGCAGGTGCTTTCCTCTTGCCAGAATAAATGGTTTCTGGGTACCGGGAGCACTCACCAAGGATGAGCCAAACGGCAAAGCGGAGCCACGTCATGTAGCTGAGCTTCAGCATGAGATAGATGTTGAGGACAATGCTCAGTGCTGGGGACAGGGGAACCAGGGGGATCTGCAAGAGATGGAGTTAGCGGTGAGGGGCTGCCAGCTGTGCCCCAGGACTGCCTCCTATCAACCACACCTGCACCCCAGGTGATGCTGCTGACACCAATACCCCATGCCAGTCATAGAATCACAGCATAATTGGGTTGGGAGAGACCTTGCAGCCCCCTCAGCCCCAAACCCTGCCCTGGGCTGGTTGTCCCCACCCACTCAGGCTGCCCAGGGCCCCATCCATGGCCTGGAGCACTGCTGGGGATGGAGTACCCACAGCTCTCTGGGCAGCCTGGGCCAGAGCCTCAATACCCTCAGGTATAAGGAATATAATATAAGGAATTTGCCCCTAACAACTTCCCCCTAACATCAGCATGGGACCCACCTGGAAGGTCTGGGTGCTGCGCTGCTGCTCATGTGCCCAGATGAGGAGGAGGCTGAGCACGAAGCCCAGGCTGAAGAGGACGAGCAGCAGGGAGTAGCTCCAGGTGGGCAGGTGAAGGTGGGTGTTGCCAAACACCAAGATTGAGCAAAGGCAGACAGCAGACACCATCAGGGTCACCACAGCCACCGTGACAACCTCGCCCGGGTAGAAGTCACTGAGAAACTCCAGGTAGGGCTCGAAGGCTGCCTTCAGCTGCCCTGGCTCGCGGTGCTCCTTGCTCTTGTCACTCCCCACCAGCTGCAGCTTGTCGGAGAAGGACTCGTACTCCTTCAGCTCGGGGGCAGCGATGCCCTCACGCTGCTCAGGGTTGGGCTGGCTGCCCGCCGGCTGCGCGGGGCCGTCCGCCTTCTGCTGCTGGAAGCGCAGCACGATGATGCTGGCGGCCACGAAGGTGTAGGCCAGCAGCGTGCCGATGGACAGGAACTGCACCAGAGCCTCCAGGTCGAAGACGAGGGCCAACAGGGCCATGAGCAGCCCAAAGACCACGATGCCGATGACGGGCACCTGTGTGCGCGGGTGCACCCGGGAGAACACCTGGAAGAAGAGCCCGTCCTCGGCCATGGCGTAGACGATGCGTGGCAGGGAGAAGAGGTTGCTCAGCAGGACCGTGTTCATCGCTGAGGGGTGGGCAGAGAAAAGGGCCCCACGTGAGAGTGGGCCCCAACCAAACCGGCACCCGACCCCGCGCTCTCCCACCTCCTCCCACAAATCCACACTCACCGCAGATGGAGCCGGCAGCCACCAGGAATCCTGCCCAGGCATAGCCCCTCCTGTAGAAAGCGTCAGCCAGGGCAGAGTCGGGATCCAGCGTGTGCCAGGGCACCATCAGCGTCAGCACCACGGACACGAGGATGTAGGCACCGGTGGCCAACCCCAACGAGAATGCAATGGCCCTGGGGACGGCCTTCTGCGGGTTCCTGGCTTCTTCGCTGGAGGCTGCGATGACATCGAAGCCCACAAAGGCGTAGAAGCAGGTGGCTGTGCCAGCCATGATGCCTGACAGCCCATAGGGGGCAAAGCCCCCCTCCTGGGCACTCCAGTTCTTGGGCTGTGCAAGAACGAAGCCCATGATGAGAATGAAGAGGATGACGCCCATGCTGATGGCCGAGAAGACGTGGTTGAGCCAAGAGGACACTTTGGCCCCAAAGGAGATGAAGGCGGTGGCCACCAGCAAGATGGCGGCCGCCAGGAAGTCAGGGTAATGGGCCAGGAAGGGCACCTGCCAGGTGCCAACATGGGTCTCAGTGAAGTTCTTAATTTTGTGGTTGAAGATGGAGTCCAGGTAACCGCTCCAGGCCCTGGCCACCGCTGCGCCCCCGATCATGTACTCCAACAGCACGTTCCAGCCGATGAGAAAAGCCCAAATCTCACCCACGGACACGTAGGTGAACATGTAGGCAGAGCCCGTCTTGGGCACCCGGGCCCCAAACTCAGCATAGCAGAGAGCAGCCAGGAGGGAGGCGAAGCCAGCAATGATGAAGGAGACGATGACGGCGGGGCCGGCGATTTCCTTGGCCACGGTGCCCGTGAGGACATAAAGCCCAGAGCCCACCATGCCCCCGATGCCCAGCAGCGTCAAGTCGATGGTGGAAAGGCACCTGTTGAAGGACGTCTCCATCATGTCGGCCTCCAAGGTCTTCACTCTGTTGAGTTTCTGGCAGAAGCGGGTCAGGTCCGTGGAGCGAGGCAGCCATCTCGCCATCCTGTAGGTGCCCTGCTGGGAGAGCTGGTGGGAAGCAGGAAGGCATGAGGAGCCCAGCAGCAGATTGGGAATGCTCTGGTTCCACTCTGCTGCGTGACCCACTGGGACCAGAGAAATGATGGTGGAGTCACCGTCCCTGGATGTGTTCAAGAACTGTGGGGATGTGGCACAGAGGGACGTGGGCAGTAAGCATGATGGGAACGGGTTGGGGATCTGAGAGGTCTTTTCCAACCTTAACAATTCCACGACTGAGCAGCCCTGTGCTTCTCCTCCACTGCCTAAATCCCGTCTCCTTGCAGAGCCTAGGAAAGCGGGGCGCAGGGAGGGGAAGTCACACGTTTCCTTGGGTTCAGACCTGCTGAGCACAAACATCCCTGCTCTGTAGCATGCACTGGGGTCAGCGCTGCAGTGTGCTGCTTTAGGCACTGTGCAGGAAGCCGTGCCTGGAAATCAGGTGGAGGGGAACTGCAGCACCCCCAGTACAGCATTTCCTCACCCTTCCCTTTTGAAAGATCGCTGTTAGAACACAAACCAACCCACTCCGGGCACAGCAGACCGCGCTGCTGCCCGGCACCTTGTCCATCACCTCCCTGCCCAGAAGAAGCACCGGTGTACTGAAAGCCCACCAAAGGGCCACGCAGGGTCTGCGCCGGCCGCTTCCCTGGGGTCAAACCAACGCACGGAACCATCAGGACGCAACGCGCTCCATCTGCGGCTCGGGGGCTGCTCCCAATCCCCCAAAACCCTGCTCAGACGGCTCACGAGCCGCTCCCCCAAACCTCCGATCCACAGCCGGGTTCCTCCCGGCACCGTCCACGGCAACGGAGCCGCGGCGACAAGCACGCAGCTCCGCATCCGTCACCGGGATCAGAAGAAGCGGAGCCACCGCCCTTTGTCCGTGCGGGTGGTGATCCAGGCCGCCGCGGGCCGGTGGGAGGGGGGAGAACCTCCTGGCTCCGGAAGAAAGGCGAAATCTCACCCAGACATCGAACCCCAAAGCTCCCCCCGCCTCCGGCCTCGCTCACCTTTGCGCCCCGGCGGCTCCGAGGGCGCGGCCGGGGGGGGTCCGCGTGGCTCCGGCCCCGCACCTGCACCGCACCGCCGCCGCCGCCTCGCCCCGCCCCGGCCCCGCCTCCAACACGGCGGTGGGCGGCTGCCACCTGGTGGGTCCGCTCGGGTAGATCTGTGCGAAGCCTGCAGACGGACTGCGAGATGCTCGTAGGTCCCTTCCAGTTATGGGTGCCGCGATGCTCGCAGCTCAGACTGAGGAGCGAGGTCCCCATCGGGCCTCGCACGGAACCGCTCCCGGCATGAAGGAGCCGTGGATGGATGTGGGTGCACCGGTGGTTTCATAGCAGCAAAACGTTTCTTGTTTTCCTTCTCTGCTCCTATCTAAAGCCTTCCTAATGCATCATTTGATTCTGTGATAGCTACTGAGCACTAATGCTGACATTCTGTGGACATTTCTTGGGACCAGCCATCACCCCAAATACTTTCAGTGGTGATGAACAACTCGGCACCATTCGGTGCTTCCATGTACATAAACTCACCATCATCCACCCCAAATCCACGTCCTCCCTTGGACAGGCCCACACTGCCCTGATCAGCCCAGCAAAGCACAGGAGAAGGCAGCAGGAAATTCACCTTGTTTCTTCCTACTATTGCTCTCTGCTCCTCCTCCAGCTTGCGTGCCTTTGCTCACCTTCTACCAGCCCGTGGTAACCGGATCCTATCGTGCTTTGCTTCTCCATGCTGCTGATGGCAGCACTGAGGCTTTGGCAGCGGCTGAAGCCACCTGAGATGCCACCAGGCACACAGCAGGTCCCCAGCCAAGTGTTCCTATGGCACCCAAGAGCTGCAGGGCTGCACGGGAGCAGAGCTGCTGCATTTCCAGCTGGGGCAGCTTCTGGGTCACTCTCCTAAGATCCAACACCAGTGCAGGAGAAGGGCTGCAGCCAGTCCCTGGGGAATGGTCACTGGTCACAAGCTACACCAGGAGCTTTATTCTCTTAAAATAACCTTTCCAACCACTGAGAACTCCATGCCCCTCTCAGAAAGCCTCTCTCTCTCTCAAAAAGAAAAAAAAAAAAGAAAAAAGAAAAAAAGAAGAGAAACCTCCTGACCTGTGGCAGGCTGCAGGCATGGAAAATTTCAGCAGGGATTGTTTGCCTGGCAGAGCCGTGTGCAACTGAAACCAGATGGTGGGAGCAGGAAGCTCTGTTGTCATGGTGCTGCCGGAGCAGCCTGCTGCGGATGCCACAGCCTTGGAGAAAGCTGGGGTGAGTGGCAGAGCCCTGCACGTGTCGTGGGCTGGGGGTTCTGGGCTGTGGTGGGCTTTGCTCTGCTCAACACTGGGCTGTGAAGCTGAGCAGCGATGCTGAGGGGCTGCAATTGCTGCCTGCAGGTGCTCCAAGCTCCTCCAGCTGCACTGCAGGCTCTGCTGCTGCCTGGGAGCAACAGCTCCGGCCTCTTTGCTTTTCACAGTGCTGCAGAAATTCAGCTCCAGTGTGTTCATCCGTAGCAGAGCCAGCTCTCCCTACCAAAAGGCCGCCCACAAACTCTGCCAGCACCTTTGCAGTTTCCCTATTTGAGTTGGTGATGGCCCCAGTTTGCTGAAAACCTCTCTGGCTTCAGCCATCTGCTTTTGTAAGGACATAAAGGCTTATAGCACCTTGATTAAGGGGCAGTACCCCATGTCCTAGCTTCAGCAATTAACTGTGTGCTGAATCTTCTAATATTGTCTTCTGCTGTGAACAGAGGCTGTTGTAGTAATAACAGGGGATGCAGGCAAGAGCAAACGGCAGCACTAAAGGAGAAACCTCCCAAACACAATCCTTGGCTGTAGAACTGCTGGAGAACCTTTAAGCAGTGATCTGTGTGTCATCAAAGCCCTTCAGCACAGGATGGCAGAACTCCTTGATCCACTTCCAGCAGCTGCTCTGACTTGAAGAGCCACTCATCCCTGAAGAGAGCTGCTTCCTGACGCTGCCTCGCACCATCCTATCTCCTGTGAGCAGCCAACACTGCACATCACCTGGCACATTTCTTGCACACACAAAGCTCTGATTGCACACAAGTGCCCCCATTCCCCCTGTGCACCAAGTCCTGAGGCCCGCAGAGCTCATCTCTGAGAGCTCTCAGCACCACTCCAGCTTCAATGCAGCGCAGACCCAGAGCAGGGATAGAAAACCCATACGTGTGATCACTGACCTTCAGAAAACTGCAGCCCCAGAGGGCTGTGCAGGGTATTTCTATCCATTTGGAGCTGTTTTAGAGTAACAAAACAAAAGCTCCCATGTCTTCTTGGCTGCTCGAGTCAGGTGAAAGCACGACTGACACCATGTCATGGTTCAGTACAGAATTTTAATAGAACTCAGAGGAGAATTCCATGTTATTCACCTCAGTGTCTCTCTGTGAAGTGCCTGCCTGTTAATTCTGCCTCAGCACACACAAACACATCTTGCTGTAGATACAACTTCAACTTTTTTTTCCCCACCTGCCAACTACCTGCACGCTGAGCCTGCAAAGGAGAGCAACCACACCTTGCTTCCCGTCTGACAGGACAGCTACTCACCTCTCCCATCCCTTATCAAACACTCCTCCTCGATTTGGAAGAGCAGATCATAATTTAGAGGTGACACTGCTCTCTGCAGGCTGGATGTGGCAGATTAATACTGTCAGCCCTTGTCTTAGCAACGCAGTGCAACACAGCAGGAAGGGCTACCATGCTTCTTGCTTTGCTGAGTGGAAGGGCAGCCTGGAGCTCTTCAGGCTCTGTGCTCTGGAGGCCTATCTCTAAAGGTAACCTAAGGGTTTCAGCTATTCTGCAGTTGCAGGCCAGTAGCCTCTTCCTAACATAACATAAAGCAAATGCATTAAGTCTATTCTTTGGAGGGAAGTCAGAAGAAAACTCCTCTTTGTTCAGGGAAAAGCCTTCTCCGACTCAGATTCCTTCTGCTGCAACTTCCGAATCAATTCCAGTAAGTTCATCTGTAAAGTCAGCTCCTGGAAAACAAAGACATTAATGCAAGGGTAAGAAGAGCCCATCCCTTCTGCAGGAAGCAGGAAGGACTCATTGGTACCACGGTACCATTCAGTGCCTGATCCTTTCCAGGAGAAGACAAGGACTCTCCAAAGATACATGCAACACACTGCTGTGATGGTGCATACAGTTCCCTCCTGCATCCTCCAAAGCACCCAATTTTCCATGGCTGTCACTGAGCTGACATCACCACCTCCTATAACACCACCAGCAGCTTATGGCTCCCTTGTATCCCTCTTTCCACCTGCTTGTTCTTCACTCACGTTCAGCTCACAAGCCATGCAGCACAGCCTGCACTTCCCCTGCACACGGTGCAACATCCATTCTCTAAGCTCTGCCCTGTGACTCAGGCTTGTAGACATTACATCATGGGAATGAAAATCTACTTTTGTATTAAAAAAATAAATAAATAAGCATATCAACTGCATAAACAGGCAGTTTACATAACAGACTGAGGAAAACACATCTACTGACAGGAAATGTGTGAAGAACAACAGACACCAGCAGTGATTTCTTGCACTGGAAGTCAAGGGTTACCAGCTATCATAAAGGCAAACAAGTGAGAAATAGCAAATGAGAACCCTGTTAAGAATTATTACTGTCAGAAATAACATAACAGGCAGGAGCAAGGGAGGGGGAGGACAAAGAAATGATTTCAGTATATAGATGAGTAATAACAGGAAAAAAAGGATTTTCTTGAAGATGCACACGCAGAAATTGTGTGGCTTTAGAAAACGGCTGTTTAACTGAGCTTAAGCCAGATTTTCTCTTTAATGCATCCTTGTCAAAATTAAATTTAATCAACTAGAAATGCAGTGAAAAAATCACCTGTTTCTGTATTCACTGCAAGCTTCCGTGGCATCCCAAGGAAGTTTTGGAAGCTGCAGTTTTCCATTCCTGTGGTGGACAGCAGAAAGGAAACCTTGGTGGCTGCTCTCAGGTTTTAAGAGCCCTGTCTGATGCACTTCTGCTCTGCTACAACCCTGACCTGCTGAGAGCACAGTGCCCTCCAGCTGATGGGGCAAAGGAGCAATCACTCTTTCCGAGCCAGAATTCAGAGTTCATTAATAGACTGAAACCAAAAAAAGTCATTGGCACAGGAGCACGGCCAGCTCTCACCCTCACTGCTCACACACTGACCTGGGGGTTGGTGGTGATGTAGAAGCCGGACACCCCAGCCTTTTCCAGGGTGCTCTGCTGGTCGATCACTTTTTGGTCCAGTTCCAAGACGATTTTCTCATCCATCATTCGCTGCTCCTCTCGAATTCGCTGCTCCACAGCCTGAGAAGGTGATATTCAGCAGGTGGGTGGGGGGATGCTTACCTTCATCCCGTGTTTTTTTCTCCTCTCAACATCTTTTACTGAAACCAAAGAGCTCCTACACCCTTAAAGCACAGCAATTCGGATGACTTTGCCTCCTCCAAGGACAGCAGAGGGCAGCAAGCACAGCCTCAGATCTTACCTTGGGTGCTTGCCATGCCTTACAGTGAGCTACCTCTCACTACAAAGCACAGGGAAACAGCTGGGACTAGCCTGCTTAAGTGCATTTTGAAGCCAGGAAAGAGACCGTGAGCAGCAGACTGCGATCTGAATGACTTTTCCTGAGCAGCAGCAGGCTGCAGCCAAGTACTTCAGCAGTACATGCACTACAAAGTCAGTAGCCCAGAAGTCACACATCCCTCACAGCACTGCTGAAACTGCAGGAAGACTTGGAGGAGTGACACAGATGAGTAAAAAGCACCAGAGCCAGCTCAGATGCTTGCATGTTCTCCGAGCACAGCTCTGCAGCAGTACATCAGGCCCAGCTCCTGTTGATTCACTAAAGAGCCAAACTCCTCCACTCCCAACTTTGCAACAGGAAGCACAGCTTATTTTTTTTGTTGACAACGGCAAGCAGAAGCGTTGCTTGGAGCTGCAGCCTGCAGGGGCTCTGCTTCTGGCAAACTGAGAATGTTATCAAGTGGGGACTTGCCAAAACAGCCCTATCAGAAGCACACAGGCCCTCCTGCTCTGCCTTAACAGAACAA